TTGATATTACACTGGTCAGTTGCAGAAAAAGTAAAGTCGCACAAAACTGTCTAATAATCACACATCTAGTCACTTTCCTCAGCAGCTCTCCTCATTTGTAGCTTTGTTTGTGGGCGGCTGTTGTACTGCATTAAAAAGCTATGTCAGCACCTACCCCGCGTAATTCTTTCTAAAAACTAGTGCAACCCCATATTGCCTCCATTTGCTTAAATTACCACAACCTCACACTAATCTTGCACCATCTAACCACCCCTAACTGCCTAAAAGAAAAAACACTGCGGGGGGATCAGACGCAGGTGCGCACATTAACACAAACACCAACAGACGTTCAAGTATTTAAGTAGCTGGCCTATTAAACGTGTAGTAACGCAGACACGCAAATATGGAGCCCACCACCGGAGAATTGTGACGGTTGCGTAATGCAGGCCAAACCAACAAGCCCGGCAGTGAAGGAGAGGCATCTTTTGGCTCTGTCACCCTCTACACACACAAACACAAATAACAACACAGCCTAAAAAAGAGTTCACACACACACAAACCCAGTGCCCTCTTTTCACATGAGCGTTATATAACCCGGCAGGCAGAGGAACACTTGGTTTCATCACGTCTTTATCTTGGCTTTATCTCGACTTCCACTGTGAGATTTCTCTCCGTTCATTCTTTTTCCCCCTTCAGTCTCTTGTAGTAAAAAAAAGAAAGAGATTTTTCCCCCTCTCTCTGCCAGCTGTTATTTAAAAGCATTAAACAGCTTTGATGCTGTAAACGTGTGTGTTTAATGTGCTTTATGCGGCGGCAAAACGCCCTCGTAGACCTCCAGGAAGTGGATGATGTCAGCTCCACCTCTACGATTCTTCCCTACGCCACTCCTCCCTCAATGACACTGCTGATGATGACAGGAGGAGGAGGATGAGAACAACGACGATGAAGAGGAGTCTCTCCCCCTCCCTTTACTTCCTGTCCTCCTCCTCCTCACCCACTGCTTCCTGCTGTCCTACCCCCGGGCATCCTGACTCAGCTCTCACCACCTCTCTTCCTCTATATCCTGCCTCACAGTCTGCTCTCCCTTGAACCAGAAGCATTGTTTCGTTTTAGTTTCATCCCAGTAGAAGTGAAATTAAACATGTTTAATTTAACATGTCTGTGCTGGGCCACTCATATGTGGATTGCACACGTTTGCTTGTGTTTAAAAGAAAGAAGCGGAGGAGTACGATGGTGGTGAAAAGATGCCAAATCCCAGCGTCTGTGTCCACAGACAGCATTTTCTTTTTGTGCCCATGACCTTAAATTCAGACCGCTTATTGTTGCTAGGTTACAAAAGCCTTCTTCGTCAGAGTATTTTCAATTATTTACAGCGGTGATACTCCAAAAGGACAGTAAACGCATGTCAAAGGCCAACCGCCTCTTTTTTTCATTTTGATTGGTTGGTGAGAGAAAAGTGAAAGTGATGAATGCAGGTGGAAGAAAATACATTAAAGGCCTGTGGACACGAGCCTTTGATAGGCCTACCCTAAACCCAGTATCAGATAGTCACCTGCTGCATAAAAGATGGAGCTGAGTAGTAAAAGCAGCATTTTTCCAAGCCTATCCAACTGAAATGTCTGTTATTCACCTCACTTTATAAGCATTTCTAATGTGTACATATCTGAGCCGTCATTCCTGTTAAAATTAAATTTGTGGCTTATTCCACTCCATCAGCGTCTGCAGGGCTGTGCTTTTATGGTGCACTCTCTCTGTGGGGTTGCAGCCGAACATGTGCCACTCATCTACCAGGTCTTAAACTAGATCCCTGTCCAAATAAACCATCTGGCAAAACTGGTCCCAGGTGCTCCATGTGGAATTGTTTCACTTACAACGGGCCAAAAAGTGGAGAGGGTGCTGCCAAGCTCTATAAGTCAAGCGTGGTGACATCATCATAGCGTTAGATTTATTATTGCTATTTGGAGGTGGCTCTCTTGGACTCGAACCAACGCTAAGAGGGGGGGAATTCACACAAAAGGCTGTCAGTCACGCCAAAACTGGGCCTGGGCCACAGTAGGCTTTCAGCCTTACTCCACATACAGCACCCAGCCTGTTACTCTGGGGCTTGTATAACAGTCAAACAACTTGGCGTGAAAAAAGACGCATAAACTGGAAGGACGTAAAGAAAGAATGTTATAAAATTATAAAATAATCAGAAATACCTACGATCTGATTAACAGGCTGTCGTGCACTCACACTCGATCTGATATCATCCTGTTAGTGTTGTTCCTGGATCAACAAGACTAATGTTGGTTCAATCACAGTGCGGTGCCGTCACACTTTTGCAACGTGGAAACATTGTGAAACACCCCATAACCGTAACCCTCACCACAATCACATCCTAACCCCCGACCCTAAACGCTCCCTGTTTGGGTTTTTTTCCTGAGTGGACATCAGCAGGTTTTTATCCCCCCAAAAAATCTATGACATCATAACAATGTGATTGGTCAGGTGTAACGTTAATCCTGGACAAGCCTTATTATGTTGATACAGGAACAACACCAACACAAGCGTATCAGATAGACCTGCACTCACTATGGATGGAATTTCATAAGATAGTACAACTGCATCTGAAACACAGTCATCCTCAGGAAGGTGACCAAACGTACCAAAAACAATACAGTAAATAAAAAGACGAATGCAAGGCTTTCACCTGTTTTACAGCGGCAGGGTGCCGGTGCCAAAACTCTAACTCCAATACTACA